GCTCCGCCTCCGCCTCCGCCTCCTCCTCCTCCTGACGTGATGCCTGAAAACCACTACATGACGGCACTCGAGGCACAGGAGAGATTTGACAGGCGTGCTGACAATTACGACTTCCTCTACGCCCTCGACCGCCTCTCTCTCCCATACTTTATCCAAGTGGCCAACCTCCAGTCCACTGAAACTGTTCTCGACCTTGGCTGTGGTATTGGCTGGAATGCTCACCTTGCTGCGCCCCGTTGCCGGTATGTCATTGGGATCGACATCAGTGGGCGATGTTGCCAGCAGGCGATCCAGACTGCCGATGAACAACGTCTCCGTAACGTCGCCTTCGCCCAAGCCGACATGACCACCGTGAGTAGGCTCCGGCACGGTATCGACAACGCCAAGGCCTTGACCAGAGCCCCTTCTGGCCCTTCGACTCGAGCCCCGGAGCTCGCATCTGACATTCCTGACGACGTTCCTCACCGATTCGACGTGGTCCTCCTCTGCGGTGTTATCCAGATCCTCGTCCCTGAACGCCGACGTGGATTGCTCTGTATGATCCGCGATTACTTCCTCCGTCCTCATGGACGTATTGTGCTCACCTGGCCAAACCCCACAACCTCCTACGCGACACACGCCATTGCCTATCGCATCCGCCCCACCCCCGCGCCACCACGAGATACGGTCAAACTCACCCTCAAGGAATTCTTTGGCAGCGCGGCCGACGAGGAACGTGCTCGAGAGGACCTTCAGGAAATGGCCATGGCCATGTCCCTCGACCTACAACCCGACACCCACTCCTATCCTCGCTGGCAGGAGCTTGGTATGACCAACAGATACGCCGAGGTGCTGACACTGGCCCGGGAGAAGGCGATGACACGCCACCCTGACCCCCGATTCATCCAACTGGAACGGGTGAACCGATTGAATTCCGCGATACGACGGCTGGAAATTAGCCACATGGACCCAGATGTAATCGAGGGCCCTAACGACCTTGTGGCATACCACCGTGTACACTCGAAGCTACAACAGCATCGTGAGCGTTTTCAGGTAGTCTCGGTGTATTCTATTACTCAGGTTCTTGGGGTCCTTACCCGCCAGGCCCACTAGGAGATCGTCTTCCTTCATCCGTCCTGCTTCCGGGTGGCTGAACGGGTGCTACTTGATCGGTGTTTGTACAACCAGCGAACGCAGCGATTGTCATCAGCGGCTTTTCCCTAAGCCTTGACGAGACCAACTGTCCCCACTAGTGAGTTAGATAGACAATCAATCAATCAATCAAGTTGGTCCCACACTATGGAGAGCGCCACGTGTAGAGTCAGATTGTAGGTCAGCATCAGAAGCGGGTACAAGAGCTCGAATATGGTCGTGTTCAAGCTTAATGTCGTTGACCTCAGGTGCTCAGCAACCCGCCCGCGTCCAAGGTCGAGGTCACGTAACGTGCACAACGCTGTCCACACCCACGCCCACGCTCACGCTCAAAACCACGAGATGTGCGCGCACGGAAGCATGCAACTGCGACTACACAGTCTGCTGCCAGTGCGCGAACAATCACTCGAGATCCGATCCGCCAGAGAGATTGATTGCAGGGGCCGCAATCCACCTGGGAGGCTGTAAGCGGTGGTTCAGCGAAATGTTGGTGTGCCAAGACAGCTCAAAGCCACAATTGACAAAATGCAGCAAGCTCCAGGGGTGATTACGAGTCCCCCGGCTGTGGTTGAACTGCTGAGAAACCGCAAGTTATGCTTTGCTGCATTATCCAAAAAGCAGAGACTCCCCATACCCAGTAAACGTATGCTTGCTGTTTCCTGTTTCCAATGCTGTCACTATCGCTATCGCTGGTCCTGCTCTCGCTGCTGTCGCCATTGCAGTCGCTGTTCCTGTTCCCGTCGCTGAAACTGTAGCTGTCGCTGTTCCCGCTTCTGTTACTATCACTATCGCTGTCACTGTTCCTGTTCCCGTTGCTCTTGCTATCGCTGCCGCTTCTCCCCTTCCTGCTATTGCTGTCGCTATTCCTGTTCCCGTTGTCGTTGCTACAGCTGTCCGCGTATCGAATGCAACTGCTGGAACTCCTGGAACTGCTGCTGATGCGATGTATGTGTACTCAATGGACGGTGGCAAGCAGATCTTCCAGTCTAAACCGACATATCTCCATGTCGATCGATAGTCAGACATGGTTGGTTGGTTGCCGTACGGGAGTGACTGCTTCTTGAATCCGTACCGAGTCTTCCTGGCTGCGGTCTGTGAGGTAGCACGAAGGACTATATTTCGAAGACCTAGAGATGAAGAACGCTTCGAGAGAGACGAAGGGAGGGAGGGAGGAAGGGAGGGCGGAAGGGGTCGAAGCGAGGGATACATTCCTCCCGTCTGAGACCCTCCCGTCTGAGAGAGATTGGGACTGGGACTGAGGGCAGGTCAACGTAGGGCAGGGCAAGGCAAGTCGTTTTCCGCTGCTGTAGCCCACAGCTCTTAGGGAGTCAACGGGAATCCTGGATACAAGGCGATGTGGTGCGGCAAAGAATGGCGTCGTCGTGGTGGCGCTGGGCTTGTCTGAGAACGACATCAACTCCGTCTTCGGCTGCCATAGTTTCGTCTGATACTTTCAACACCTCCTGCAAGCCTAACGTGATGTGTCCGGCGAGTGTAGCATGCGAAATATGGGTGATGGCCTAGAGGCTGCTCGAGTATTGTCTATTGACGGTGTGGAATGTGGTAGTAACCGGAAAACCTACGTGATTTAGAGCCATGTGACCTGTTTGGGCAAATCTAAGTTTAGCCAGTACGTTGCCGATGAGCACATCCTGAACGTCGCCAGGCTGAATACCAGCACCTAGCACCGCCGCTCTTATCACCTATCTTTGTATTAGGGTTGGTAGGGAAATAGTGAGACCGTCGCACGGTACATCGCCCCAAGCCATCATCGACGCAGACGGGAAGATGGTGATGCACTGGCGCAAGCTGAAGCGGACGCACATGGAGCGCACCATCCTTGGTATGCGGGTCCAACATGATTGAGCAGGCAACATCTGTGACCGTCAATGTCCCTGATTCACAGATCATGACCACGGCTACCCACCACGACAGCGAATGAACCAGACGAGTCACAGAATGTCATTAGACTGTTCCCATCGATGTGACCACGGCTGCCCGCCACGACACAACCCAGTCATCAAACATGAACCAGACAAGCAACAGAACGAGACTGTTCCTATCAATGTCCCTTCGATGTCTCTCATTTATAACCCTAGGGATCAAGCATGATCGAGGCGTACAATAGAAGTAACACCATACTTCTCGAAAAGGCGGGAGACATCGACTTCAGCGAGACGGAGGTGAATTCCAGCCACGAAGAGATGGGAGCCAGTGTTCGAGACATCCTCGTCCGCGTCGTTCATGCTGGTGTCGGACAGAGGTGGCGATCTATATTCCAAAGGGTCAGAACGTTGGGCGAAACACTTTCCAACCTGCCTTGACCGAGAAACAGAGTCAGGTAAAGCAGCCGCGCAGAAGGCCTTGGGAGAGGCGTCGGACTGGTGCCTTGCGAGTATTGCCCAGCGTTGCCACTCGCAAAAGCGGGTGCGGAAGACGAAGGGATAGATCCAGAAGAAACGGCGGTTGGTTGTTGAAGAGAGCTTGCGTTGCCCGCTCTGCCCCCAAGCATCATGTACTGTCCCGTTCCCGCTCTCTGAAAATCCGCGCTAGGATCCGGGAATTCATATTCCAACCCCTCCACCGTCTGACGGTCGTTGCTACCGGCCAAATTACACACGAACATGTCGGGAAATGTCGTCTGTCTCTTCAATTATGGAGCGAACCGCATCCACGGGCCAAAGACACAAGCCCAATTGGCGCTTGAAAAGTTGGCCGGCCAGTGGGTGGTTGTTGGACTTGGTATCAACGCTGACACGTCTCGTGCTGGAGGCTTTCGAGAAACGCATCCAAACCTCTTGCGGAAAGGGTGAAGTGGTATACTAGGAGCCGTGATTGTAGCGGCTGCGGATCGACGATCGAGGTCAGTTGCCTCCTGGGGAGAGGGGAGAGGGGAGATTGCACGAGTTAGCAGCTACATACCAGACACACATGCACAACGCCCCGGAGAAGATAGGCACCGTATGCTGACACTGCAAGTCAGCGCCAGCCTGTCTCCACCCTCATGTTGACTGATGCAGCTTCTGTAACTGCTGTTGCTGCTATGGAAGAATGTAGAGCAGGCAAAGAATGCAGAGAAGGCAAAGAATGACGCGACGAGGCACTGCATGCGCTGCGGCACAACTGCGCTGTCGACCAAGTAACCTTCTCAGACAGTCAGCCTTTTGTACTACAATCCATCAATTCAAGCGCATAGCGTGATACCGAACCAGAAGAAAAAATACCTCTGCAACTTGCTCTACATGCCTCAATCTGCGTCAACGTCAATACCAAATCGGTCAAGGTCATCGCAGCACACCAACTCAAGAGCAGGGACTTGCAGATATATCCACCAGCAGCGACAGCAGAAGCCGCGCAGCTTCAGGCAAACAAGAGATGGCTCCGAGGTCTGGGAGAAAGAACATGCCAAACTCATCGTGCCTACCTATGGCGTCATCGTCCATGGTATCCCAACCAGTTCTATCAATATCAAAGGGCAGAAAAAAAAACATCATCCAACAGGTCCTGGCAGACAACTACACCGTGATCCCTCGCGCCGGGATTTCACACATCTGAGGGCTCACGGTGGAAGCGGCGCTCAAGTCTGCATCCTCTATCGTCGTTGAATTCACTGACCCGGCAATGGCCAATGCAATCTTCTATGCTAGCATGGTATGGGGCGGCCAGATTCAACAAAGCGAACTCTACGACCGCGCCTGCAGGATACAACAATGCTTCCGCTGCGACTACTATAGTCACATCAGCACTCGATACAACGTATCCCAAATATGTGGCTATTGTGCCGAGCGACATAAGACCAAACACTGCCGGCAGAAGCGAATGGAAGGGTTCATTCCCCAATGCGCAGTGTGCAAAGGTGCCCACACAGCATGGAGCAATGCCTGCCCCCGCCCGAAAGGGTCGCGCAAATCATCACGGGAGCTTTTCGAACCATTCCCGGAGCTGCGGTTAACGTCGAGGTACGCCTGTTCCCGGTCACGCAACAGCTTGAGCAAACAGCGCTCGAGACCGCCATGCGGATCAGAACCATACCACTCTATGCGGAGATAACGGTCAGCCGCAAGAACAGCCAGTCCCTAGCCTCCTCGACCGACTCTCCAGTGTCCTCGAAAGCAAGTACGGCAGCCCCCGTCGACCGCTTAGAGAAGCGCCAACCACATATCGTGCCCCCACGGTGGACTCCGTCGGTCACCCGTATCGCCGAATCCTTAGACGCAGCTATCTAGGAGCACGATGCGACAGATTCTGCGATGCTGTGCATGTATACGGGCGGCAGCGGCATCGGTGGCCATGTTGGTGCGGCAGCCAGCGGTCGCACCGATACTAGCAATCCAGGGTGTCCGAACGAAGAGAATGACATATATAGGCACGTCAACCACATCGACCGCGTTTGCAGCAGAGTTGAAAAGAATCGACTTGCCATTCCAGATCGCCGCCGAAGTGCACTCGAAAACCAACACCGCTGGGAAATGTTGTGTCTTCACTGACAACCAAGGCGCAATCCAAGCGATGGCCGATCCCAAGTACTCCTCTGGTCAATACATCCTAGCCGATGCTATCCAAGCAATGGACAAGCTGCGTGACCAGGGATGGGGAATTCAGCCCCAGGGGATTATCCACCGGCACACGTCGGAGTGGCCCATTCCCAAGAATCAACATGAACCAAATCACCTACCTCTTGATGACGGCGCCGTGCAGGGTCGCGAGGAATTGTTTTCGATTGCACGCAACACAGATCCGACACATCGCCCCTCGACCTTGCCTCGATCTGTTTGTCGGTGAGCGTGATACCGGTACCTAGCTTCGGTAGTTTCCGTATTGCTTCGGGGCTATGTGGCCAAGACGTCTATGCCACATCCAGACCGGGTCGTTGAAATCGATGGTGGCTGCCAGGCAAACTGCAAGGAATCCAGGCCACTGATCCCTTTTGCGTGTCCGACATCATCGCCGTCGGCCGGCTGTATCCTCAAGACGGATTTGTTCCAGGTCCCTTGTAGATCTGCTTTGTCTGCAAGGGCTGACATGGAAAGCAAGTTGCAGCAGCTTGTTGGAGCGTAGGCCTCATCTGAAAGCTGAAGCGTAACGACCTCTCCAGCTTCTGTGATCAGCTGTGAAGCTGACGGAGCCGGTCCCTTCGATCTGGAGCGAGGTGTTGCCATCAGCGGTGCCTACCACGGTCTCATATGGGGAGTACCGGTGAAGCTATGACTTGTCATTGATGATGTGCCCATTACAGCCACTGTCAGAGATCCAGTCGTCTTTGTTCATTGAATCTTGAGCTGCTGTCAAAAGGACTTATGCTCCCTCTGTTTCGTTCTCGTGATCGTTTCGAGTTAGAGGGTATCTTCTGATGTGTTCAAGCAGAGCATGAAATCTTGCAAGGGCACCTCTTTCTGGAGTGGATGGACGACGGCGAGGGTATAGAAGTGGTGGAAACCCCCGTGCAGGTCTTGAAAGGGGGGAGAGGGTTGCTGTCGAGCTTCGTTTCTGCGTATGGTGCGGGTGTTGGGCTGCCTTGTCCTTTTTCTTGGTTGTCGATTTGGTGGCATCTTCGTTCTTCTTGTTGCCAGTGAAACCTGCGAAGTTGAATCCTTCTTGGAGTCTTTTTCGTCATTGTTGTAGGGGTTGATCTGTGGGTGCTCGAACCAGCAGCACTCAGGCTTCTCCCGGATCGTGCTTTTGCAAACAGGACATTGAGGGTGACGCGGGTTCTATCGCTTCGGTTGCTTGTCGCCATCGCTGTCCTTCTCCTTGTTCGAAGGTCCTTTTGAGTCTTTGGCGGGTTGATATTTTGGTTTGACGATTGCTTCGTACGTCAGAAGCCTGGTGGTGATATCCTCAACGTTAAACGTCTTCCTTTGTGATGCTTGTTCCAAGTGAATCTGTTAGTTGAATTGGTTCCATGTAGCGTGAGACCACATAGGGGTTTTGCTTTGGTTTTAGCTTCGCTGGACTCTCCCTTTGACTTGCGGAGGTCCTCAACGTAGTTGATGAGAGTGGAGATGTATCCCTGGACATTGTAGCAGTGGGATGCGTGGTGTTTGTCAACCCTGCCGCAGCAAAGCTTGTGCAACGGACGGTTTCATCATGAAGCGTTTCTTGATGTAGTTGACTGCTTCGCCAAGGGACTTGCAAGAGATTTGAGGCCTGGTAATGGGGCCAGCAGAGTCCATGGGTAGCTTACGAGTCCGATTGATTCGGTCTTGTTGTGTCTCCCATGATTAGAGGTTGAACTTGAGCTCCTCTATCTTGAATCGAAGCTGAGAGTGGATCCAATATCTCTTCGCTCGTGTCATTGCAGGCTTGCCATCGGCATCGGTGATTGGGTTTCCATCGTCCGTGAGAAGCGGGTTTCGTCTTCGTAGTAGACTTTGGTTGGGATATTGCAAGGGTGACTGAGAGTCGGTTCGTGTGGGATCGGTTCGGGTGGATGGGGATGAGACCAAGGTTTCCTTCAACACCAACGATGTCCATGAACTCTCTGAGCCGCCGAATGTAGTGTGTCTGGCCGTTGAGGGTCTCGATCTTGATTTCGGGGTTGGAAGTCATCTTGTGGGGATCACTAGTGACAGGCGTTGAGGTCCGGGTTCGCAGGACTGACTTTCACTGCGAAGGCGATTGGCGAAGACAATGGGGAAGAGGAAAAGAGTTGGGCTCGGAATGGGAGGCAGTACAAGGCGCCGGTGATGTGTTGTATAGGGCCTCAGTTTCAACACCGCAAATATGATCGAGGACCCGCACACAATGCACATCGCGCACGAGGGGTTGCCCGAGCCTTGCTTCACGTACTGCTTCCAGATCAGCCGGCCCGCCCACCTCCCCTTGATCTTGGTCTGCACCACCGAGGTGTTGTGCGTGGTCATGGTCAGGGGCTCGATCACCGGGATGTCCTTGGGCGACGTTCTCCCTCGCGATGGTGGCGTTGACTGTGTTGCCGTGCACGATCATGGTCGCGATCACTGGCTCGATAGTCCACATGGTGACGTTGCAGTTCGGGGTCATCCACTTGCCCAACACCAAGATCCTCCTCACGGTGTCGGTCACGAGCGGGTTGTAGTCGAGAGCTTGATGCAATGATCCGATGATCTCGCTCGCGAACATGTCGATGCTCGAGGCCCCCCTTCTGCCTGAACAACAGCGACAAGAACTCCTTCGCTACCATGAGTCTGCAGATCTTGTCGAGCATCATCGTGTACCTGGAGACCATTTTGAACGCCCTCTGCCCCCTGTCCACCTGCCGCTGCTCGCTCCTGGACATCCATCTCACCGTCCCGTGCGAGTACATGTCGTCGAAGGTCCACACGTTCTCCATCGTCCCGGTGTACTTGGTGGGGTGTACGTCATGGTCGGGCCAAGAGCTTATAGGCCACAGGCTCGAGAAGGTGTCCACGTTCCGACCAGCTGCACGAACATGAACACGTACTCGAACAAGAACCTCTTCGTCAAGCTGGAACAGGTCGTGTACATCATCGAGGCCGGCGGCACGAACATGAACGCGAATGGGCCGATGCAGGAGGACTTGGCCGTGCTTGAGAGAGATGTTGATGATGGCACATATGTCGAGGCATTGCAAGCACACCTCGAGCAGGCACACGAGCTCGTTCTTGTACGGAAGGGTGCCCGAGAACCTCAACGCGATCCCCCAGCTACCTCGACGACCTGAGCCTGGGTATGTCCTTAGACACGAACAAGAACCCGAACGTGAGGGTCGTCACCCACTCGAGGACGATCGTGAAGAGATGCATGTCGATGGAGGTCGATGTGCTTCCGTGTATGAACCTGAACATGGACATCGTCACGTTCGCGGACAAGGTCGAGGTGAGAGATCGAAAGTGATGATGGACAGGAGCGATCTAAACTTTGCCTAGTTAGAGTCCTCCCCTACTTAGTGCTATTCAAGGTACAAATAGACGACAGGGAAGGGGAATGGTCACGGTGAGCACCGTGATATCAGAAGTATACCGCATCGAGTGCATCGAGTGGCGTGCACTCGTACCAGTCCAACACACGGCGAGTAGTCTTCTCATAGAAATGATGGAATTGGAATTCCGACCATGCTGGACATGGACCTGTCAAAGTTCCTGACAGATCAAGGATTTTCGATTCCCTATAATTCCCCATTCGAATATCTTGAGGCAAGATGCTCGCCAATCTCGCGATGTCGAATTTTGCGAAAATGGCTGGGACGTCTTCGGGTAGCGGCAGCTTTAGCAGGTGTTCCTTGACAATAACCCAACGGCTCATATTGTGGTTGTCGACGAGACTCCCAATCGTCTCGAACTGTTCATCTGTTAATTTCATCCAGCCATAACACCTCACCGCCCAAGTACCGTTCCTCTTCAATGAGTCGAGTCGACCAAATGCTCGGCACTCCTTCGCAAACGGCGATGCTTCGACGGCTTCTCTATACGAAGCAGCAAAGACCGGGCCGGTTTCTTCCCATTTTTTGAACTGCGGTAACATATTAGACCAGTGAAGGAAACGGCTAGATAGTAACCACACTTACCACTTTGAACACATATTCAACGCCTTTAGAGGTCGCCAAGACCATAACGGCCTGTCTTCCGTAGCCTATCAGGCGAGGATTTTGAAGAGCCTCTTGATGATGAATAAAACGTCGCAGTTGGTCCCCGGTCATGGTATCCGAAGAGCCCATCACCTCCTCTGAGCAAAAAATTCCAGCAGAATCGTCACCCATCAGGTCAATGCCCCTGCCCATCCTTTCTGCTTGCATATCCATTGCTTGTCCCAGCACTTGCCGTAGAAAATATTGAGCACTTATCTCGGAAAAGAGGTTTGGGTCGGGAGAAGGAGAGGACCTTGAAAGAGGGCGTGCTGCCAATATCGAGACGTCGATAGGGAGAGTGCAGATGAGCCATGACGACACAAAGAAAGAGACAGAGTGTGAATTTGTCACGACGACACAAACAAAGAACAAAGAGAGAGAGAGAGTGCATATATCATGACGACACAAGAAAGAACAAAGAAAGAGAGAACGGTGGGTAGCAAAGTCAGCGTCGTGCAGGAGAACAACGGTAACCAGGCAGAACGAAGCTGGGCGCAGGCAATGGCGTGCTGAGCACTTTACGCTACACCATATTAGAATAGCACCACGGGTTACTAGCCAAAAGGGACAAATAGCCAACAGCTATCCTATTCTTATGGTGTAGCGTAAAGTGCTCACCACTTACCAAGCAGGTTGGGGGTGGGGGGGCGAGGGGGGCGGGGGAGGCTTGCTACCTACGCTGTTTTCCTTCCGCTTGAATCCCCACGAAGCGCCCAAACCGTGGACGAAGACGACCGTGTCGGACCCGGAGCCGATTTCTCACACGTTGACCATCTTGTCGCCCACGCGCCTCAGGCTACAGTGTACACTGGGAGCCTGGATCCGGGCTACCTCACCAGGGCATTCGGCATTTCGTCTGACACCCGATTGCTCAGCGTGAGTGACACCGTCGCCAGAGTCCAACGCAATACCAGTTGTGCGACCAGAGGCGTACAGAGAGAGAGAGGACGGCCCGAACGGAGACGTAGAAGGCAGGGGGCGTTGAAGGTCTCAAAGACAATCTGTGTAATCGTCTCCCTGTCCTGTTGGATTTGGGATTCGGGGTTGATGGGGGCTTCGGTCAAGAAAGAGACGTGCCAAGACATAACGACATGGCCATGTCGTTATGTCTTGGCGTGCTTGCTCTTCGGGGGCGACATGAAGTTCGTTGTAGAAGGTATGATGCCAAATCTTTTCCACGTTGTCCCAGTTCGTGACGACACCGTTAGCATCAACAGGGCAGCTCTCCTGGCAAAGACCACGCTCCAAGAGTCTGTCGGATGGAAGTTTCATTGGCGAATATGGATCTTTTCCCGGTGTTTTGTTTGACATGCAAGCATACCGAGATAGTATGAACAACCAGATATCACCGTCTGTCATCTGAAAGATCCTCGGCCAGCTTTTGTGTGAATTGCGGTAGGTGAGAGCTTCGTGGTCCGAAAAGGAGGAGGCCGTCGACATAGGTAGCCAGGAACATCTGGTGTGTTGGGGGGGTGGAGGGGCAAGGGGTCATGGGCTGGTGCATTCCATCCCATTTTGGCAGCTTCCTTCCGAAACTGCTGGGATCGTGCACGGGATGATTTGTTTGAAGCCGTATCGTGCTTTGAAGAGACGAAGCACCACCATTCCATCTGTTTCAGGGGAGCCTTCCGGAGGGAGGATGGAGATTTCTTCTTCAAAGTCTCCGTCTGGGAAAGCAGCGACGATGATCCATTTGATGAACTTCCCAACCATTGGTGGCAGCCAACGCGAACAATGCCTTGTATGTCGCGGCCTTGACGACAGCTGAGAAGATCTCGTCGTAGTCTTCGCTTTCTCGTTGAAGGAAACCTCAGGCTTCTACCCGAGCCTTGAAACGCTCAATAGAGCCATCAGCATTGGTCTTCACTTTGAGAACTCACATGGTTGGCAATGCGCGGTTCCCTCTAGGCGACTTCATGACGACCCAAATCTTATTGTGTGGGAGGTTGTGGTATTCTGCCTGGAAAGCCTTCCACCAGAGATGGGAATAAGGCGACCTCATTGAGTTCTCCGTCGTCCGCTTGAGCTCGTCTTTGATAGGATGTTTCATTCCTGCTCGGTCTCTTTGCAGGCCAGCTGTACTTCTCTTCATTCGAGCATTACAAGGGGTTTTGCACAGAACTTCTTCGGCTTCGAGGGTTTGGCTTGCGGCGCCTGGTGAACATGGTTCGGTGGCAATAGAAGATTTGAAATTTTTCTCAGCTCTGCAGATTCGCGGCAACCACGGTGTACAACGAAGTTGCACTCAGCGACCGGACGGCGAGAGCAGGGACGAGGGTGAAGGAAGGGAAGCCAAAGGGAAGGATAGGAGGGCAAAAGACTCCTTGGTTGAGCCTGGCTGGGTGGGTGAGCAAGGGAACGCCGGCGGGTTCGGCGATCTGAAGAATCTAAGCGACGCGAAGGGTAGGAACGAGGTTTGCTGGGACATGGAGTGCTTCTGACAAGGCCATCAGGCTGCTCAAGAAGGAAATGCCGGAGACGATCGAGCTGGCCAAGGCCAACTGGGCGGGCTTTCTGTACTCCTGGCACGACAAGAGCGCCATGGAAGACAGCCCCGAAGAGCGCGAAAAGTCAACTTCAGGAACGCCGCGAGAATATCGAGTCTAGGTCATCTGTTTCAAGCTCGAAAATGGCATCGATGTCGGCGCTAGTTACGCACAAGATTCTCTCCGGCCGTGGATCCAGGCGTTGCTCAGCGTATTGTAGATGGTAAAGGTGTAGGCCCAATGTGCTCGGTTTCGTAGCCGTAGAATCAGTGGCATCGATGATCCTCCCACAATACAGACCGAGTCGCCGACACGGGTCTCGCCGGGTGACGATGGGCGCGTGGAACGTGTTGTACAGGTACGACAGGTTCATCGCCGAATTAGAATATGGTAGTAAAGGCACGGGACTGAAGGCCAGACGACTAATGGGTGAGCAAAAATATTCCAATCCCGAGAGCTCTGTACAGTACCTGCCATGATTCTGGACTCCGCTGATCAGTTCTTACAATCTCGATACACACAGGGCATGCAATTTCTTTTCGGCTCCGTCGGCCCCGGCTTCATCGGCGTCGTCGTCGGCCATCAACAGTTCAAGTTCACGCTGAGCTTGTTAGCCTTCATCTGGACCACCCACGTGTGCTCGAGCGACCTCATCACGGCGTACACCCCATACCTGCTCGCACACATGGAGAACGTCCTCCCGACCCTGGAGCTGCGTCGTGTACCTGTATAAGCCGATGCGAGTCATGAAAGGCCGTCATGTCTCGACTGTCCTCATGCAACTCCACTTGGTCGTATCCTGAAAATCAATCGATCAAGGATAGGATATGCATGTCCGCCTCTGCGAATTCGTCTGAGGACGGACGCAGGTTCGCATCTCTGATCGTGACTCGATTCGGGAGCATCGCGGCCAGCACTAGTCGATAATCTCCGGGCAATTTCTTCACCAAGAAGAAGACGTTCAACAGGGACCATGACTGCGCTCGAAGACCTCGTTCTTGATTCTGTCATGCAAAATCTCCACGACTTTTGGCTCTAAAGCCTTCGGCACTGGAAATCTCCTGGCCTGCCGGGCTTCATGTGGAATCGTCCTGATGACTTGCGGAAGCGCGACTTCGTGCTGCAGGCGTCCGATCTCAGAATTCCCACGACAATGTTCCTTCACGATTCAACAGGATCGCCACCAGCACCTCCAGCTCCTCAGCCGCATCCCATTGGCGATGCCGACGAGGAAGGCAAGCCTTGTTCTCCTCAACAGTCTTGGTTCTTCAGGCAATTTCCCACGAAGGTGCCTTTGTAGTTGAGCCCCATCGAGTTCCCCCAGCGTGTAGTTTCCCTTCTCTTGGTTGAAATCGAGGATCTTGAAAGGCCCATACCACCTGAATGACAACTCCTCCTCGCTTGGCATGTTCATTGACCCCGCCATGTTATAGTTGAGACGAACATCCCAAGCTCTTGCTGCGCCCACTTGCTGTACTTAATGTGCAGCTAGCTGCGCCCACCCAGGACTCCCTGAGAGACTATATAGACTTAGAGGTAGACGCGGAGGTAGACACGGACGTGGATGGGGTCGTGGACGGGGTCGGGGTCGTAGATAGGGTTATTGTAGACGGGGTCATCGTGAACGGGGTAATTATGGATAGGGTTATCGTAAATGAGGTCGTGAACGAGGTCGTGAACGGGGTCGTGAATGGAGTCGTGAACGGGGTTGTGGATGGGGTCGTGGACGGGGTCATGGACGGGGTAATCATATAACGGGGTCATTGTGTACGGGGTCGTGGACGGGGGCGTCGACGTATATGCGATACAACTGTGTATGCTGTGTTTGTCGGCGGCAGTGCTTTGTGCAGATGTGTTTGTCGTCCAGCTGTCGGGGCGTTCCTTTGTATGTCCCTTTATCAATGATTGGGGGTTGGCGTGATCTGGCTTGTGAGATCTTCCAGGCATCTCTTGGGCGTTGTTGCTGTCGACATGCTGGACACGAGACTGGAGCACTCAAACCAGAGGCAACACTCGTCGAAAGAGAGCGAGTTCACCAGTAGTGCCCTTGACTGTCTGTGTACAAGGCAGGAGTCGAAGCGTCCCAAGCTTGAGGAACCTCTCACCCCGCGAGACAGGGTGTGATACCTTGGCCATGCGTGAGCGTCTTGTCCTCCGCAGACGATGGTTAGTTGTTTTGCAGTTTGTCTTTGAACTCTCTTGGCGTGCACGGGCCACAACAACATCGCCGTGTCGTTGTGGCCCGTGCACGCCAAGGTATGGTGATCTCGGCACTCTTGCCAGATGTAGCATCTGCTTTGAAGACTTCTATACCAAGAAGTATAAAAGGTCTTCGACTTTCGATCGTGACTTTCGATCGTCAGAGCAGGGAGAGTAGCTCGCAGACTACGGTCGACGAGTTGCTGCAGACGGTGCAAGAATGCAGGACGACGGTCGGAGAGTTGACGAAGGCGCTCATAGAATGGCAGACGCCAGCGTTGCCATGGCTTGAAACAACGAGCGCCCCACGCTCACGAGCCTTCGACGGCTTTTCCAAGGGTGGGCGCTTGCTTGCTCTGCCGATGTCCCGAGTCAAGCTTGATCTCATTGTCGAAACTGACCGGCGGGATTCGCCGTCGCATTAACTGATCTTTGTAGCTGGAAGGACTCGTGAAGTCCTTGGTTGCGGCGGGAGATTCGCTGGTTGCCGGTATGTCCACAGGAGGGGTCGCCGTTGGGCGGATGCTATCTTGACTTGTCCCGGAGCCTCTGAACGTTGGGCGGGATGGTATAGGCGGCGACCTGTCTAATAAGTCTGCTCATGTCTTCTTCGGCATTGCAGGATATCTAACCTCTTTACCATTGTTCCACCTCCTCGACAAACGCGACCAAACCTCGCAGTCCAAGGTCCCCCAGGTGCTCCGCTTCACGCAGCTGGAAGCGTAAACGAAGCCGACCACGGGATCGTCTCTGCTGATCTGGTCATGGTCCGGAAGGGCCGGCATTCTGTCAGAAACGAACTCGTATGCCAACTGCTCGATTGCAGCGAACGAGACCACCAACGAAGTAGAAAAAGTAGCGAGCTGTCTTGCCATGCGATTCGACACGTAGTGGGTTCTGCTTATCACCCTCGAGCAAGGGGCAGGGTGGAAGTTGGACATGGTGCGATTGCGATTGTAGATGCTCTGCCGAAGACGAGCACGAAGAGCATGGCTCCGCGGAGACTGGATGAATCACCTTCATGCTGTGTTGTGGGGACACCGAACAACCGTCAAGGCAAGTACAGGCCTGTTGCACGGCGTACGAGGAGGAGTTCCTGAATCAGCCAAAGCTACCAGTTGAGTTGGCGGTTTCAACTTGGCATGTTCTGCCCTGGGACCAGGTGCAATCGACGGCGGAGCTTGTAGCAATGAGTGCTCGTGCACTAGAAAAACGCAGGACAGATGACCTAGAAGAAGTAGCAGCTCACCTCAAGAGGATGCGTGAGTTGGGAAAAGAGTACTTTGGCAAACGACATTACTTGTGATTGGAGCCTTTGGAGCCTGGGATATTGGTGTACAGTAAGTTCCGCAGTCAAGCACCACCGCAGTCAAGCATCACTGCTGTCAAGCACCGCAGTTAGCAAGTACAGCTGCATAGCAGCACAGCAATAACGGCAGAAAGGAACAATAGCAGCACATGGGCTGTTGCTCACGGGAAGTGCTATGAAGTCGTTCTTGGTGGCAGCATATTTCATTTCGTCTTCGTTGCACAAGCTACCAGAATATGTCATGAAGTCGTTCTTGATAACGGCTTCTTTCACATCTTCGTTGCACGGTTCAAGTTGCTCCCTTTCCCCCTTTCCCTGCACAAGCCACCAGAACATGTCATGAAGTCGTCCTTGATAACGGCGTCTGTCACCTCATCGTTGCACGGTACAAGTTGCCCCCTTTCCCCCTTCCTTACGCACCGAATTGTAGCTGCGATCGACACAGCAGCACACCATCGAGTGCTTCTTGATAACGGCGTGCATCGCTGTGTCTTCGTTAGCTGCTAGGGCTCCGGGTGCCAACACAAGGACTATACTCACATGGGGGTGTGTCATGATGTGGTTGATCATGACGGTGTGGATGGCTTCGTCTTCGTTGCGGTAGGGCTGTTGCTCACCGGGGTGTGTCATGAAGTTGTTCTTGACGAAAGCGTGCATTGCTGTGTCTTCGTTAGCTACTAGAATTCCTGGCGCCAGCTTAAGGATTATACTCACATGGGGGTGTGTCATGAAGTCGTTCTTGATGATGGCGTGCATGGCTTCAGCTTTGTTGGTAAGCCTGATGCTCACACCGGGGTATGCCCTGAAGTCGTTCTTGATGATGGCGTACATTGCTGTATCATCGTTAGCTGCTAGGATTCCAAACGCTAGCACAAGGACAATACTCACACTGGGGTGTGTCATGAAGTCGTCCTTGATGATGGCGTGCATCGCTTGATCTTCGGTGACTGACTGCCTCGATGACTACGCCGGGGTATATTTCCACGTTATCTGGATGTCCGTAGAGTCGTCCCAATCCCCCATCGTCGGACGACTCTACGGACATCCAGATAACGTGGTGTTGTGTTGAGAAGAATGTGGAAGAGAAAGAGTCTGTGACTCAATAAAAAGGGGGGAAAGGAGGGTGGCAGGCGCCGAGACTGGCCTAGTCCTAATTCAGCCTAGCACTACATGTGACATCCTCAGCATGATCCTGCGAACTAAACAGACCAATCGATTCTTCATTCAACGAGTTCTACCAAACAAGAACCTTAACCCCGTCGTAGCCGGCCGGCCATTTGATTTCCACCTCATCACCCTGGGGAACCACCTCGCCGCCATAGATACCCCCGGCAATCTCCGAGCAAGGGAAGGATCCATTGACGGGAGCCAACGGACCAGATCCGGCTTGCCACGTGGCGCGACCACCCTTGATCACATCGATGGAGCCGAGAGCCTGGTCACGCAGGTTGCCCGACGGCCAGGAGCTAGCATCGGCGTAGGCTGGGGCGAGGGAGGCATAGAGTTGGGCTTTCTTGGACCCGCTGAGGGTCGAGGTCGAGTTGAAGAGGTCAAAGACGAGTTGGCACTGGTTGTCGGCGTATTTCTGGTCGAATTCGAAGGTGACAAGGGTGCTGATGTCGGCGCCGTTGTTCTTGGAGCTGCGGCTGACGTGGCCTTGGGCTGTGTGGAAGACAACAGCGCCGGTGGCGGAGTTGTATTGGCTGGTGTAGTCAGGGTAGATGATGGCGACAGGTTCGTCGGCGCGAGCGACCAGAGGGGTCGCGTTGGCAACGAGCAAGGAGGTGACGAGCACGATGATTGGTTTTCCGTACATTCTGGATTGAGACTGAAAGTATGGTTGTTTTCACCGGATATGCTTGATCGAATAGATGGAGAAACAGTGTGAGGTTGCGCAAAGGCAAGTTGAATGGTAAAAGTCCTGGGAGAAAGATGACTTTGCGAGCTTCAGTGGCGTACTCGAAAACTGAGGTGTCAACACTCTTAAATAGCCATCAGTCCTCCTCTCTCTCACTGTCTGTCTCTCTCGCGCGCGCGACAACTCCGTCTTCGGTGTCCGAGGGTGCCGTCTCTCTGAATTCCGACGTGCGCGTGACGGTTGACATGATCCCGCTACCAGCGGCTGAAATGAGCTTTCGGGCCTTTGTGGAAGCGTTGTGGATTGTGTAGCTGTTGTTAAGTGAACTCTCGACATTCGAAGAGCGATTCGGCCGATGCTCAGGCCGCCGCGGTGGAGGATGCTGTATACTATTTTGAGCATCAGCTTTCCCATCTTGCTAGCTGGACTCGTGTTCAGTTCAGCTCCCCCGTATGAGTGTCTTGGATATTGAACCTACGGACAGGAGAGCCTTTGGGAGAATTGCTCCAGCCCACAGCGGAGGTCTCGTTCCCGGGCTGGTGAGGCTGAATGCGGAGAGTGCTTGCCAAGTCGCCCTTGGCATTAGAGAGCGGCCTCCGCTGTGAGGCTGAATACGGAGAATGCTTGGCACGCCGCCCTTGGCAATAGACATCAGGCCAAATGCTTCTTCCAACCGGATTTCGGCACTTTGACTTTCGAGCTGAGCTGACCCAGGAATTTAAGAGGTGCGGGATGCTTCTTGGAAGGGCCTTGCGCTTTGCTTGTCCTCAAGGCCCTGGATAAGCCAGTGCCCCTCCACTTTCCGTCCTCTCCAACACTTCAGCAGAAGAAATCGCCCCCTACACGGACAGCGCCCTGGGGCCACGCTGGCCACAGCACTGAGTGGTGCATGATTATTCCTAGGCGCCACATCCAAGGCGGTTGGGTTGGTTCAATGAGGCAGATTTGTGGCCAACCTGTGGCTGACCAGTGGCCGTCCTGTGGCTATTCTCTCACTGGATATATTGCCATGCTCTTGGTTAGTCATCACTGCGGTCACTGGCGAGGTCCTGACTTCAGCCCTGGCAACACTGTCATCTAGACAGCTTGCTTATAGACGTCATTCCATCGATGCCATAAGACTACTTACTACGTTCTATTTGTCAAACCCGTTCAAATGGTGTCAGCACAGGCCATGACGGGCAAAAGTTTAAAGAATATTCCCATGCGCTTCCCTGACTATTTTCCTCCTCACTCCTTACAGGATCGCTGTGCACCCAGGCCCCGAGCCATGGAACAACTCCCGAAACCACCCCCGTCGCTATTGGGTGCTCTCTCTCCAACTTGACCCTGATCTGCCTGTTCGATCTGTACCACCTGCTCCCGAAGGCAGGTTCGTGGCTTGGAAAGGCACACAGGCCCGGATACTCAGCATGCTCTTCGAGACCTTGGCCTTTTCCATCGTCGAAACACCTAGGCTTTGAAGACCCAGCTGAAGACAGCACAAACGGTGTTGATGAGCGGCAGCATTCAAGGGATGACAATCCAGAAGAGCAGAAGCCCCTCCGTCCACGGCGCCTCGAAGGCGCATCTGGGTGATGACCGAACTGATCACTCAATGGGTTATCAGGCCTGAGGCAGTTCAACATGCAGTCTGGATCAAGAATCGGTATCTGACCAAAAGTTTGAAATTCGAGAAACCCCAGCCCGAAGCTTTAACGGGAATCCAACCACGTCTCTCTCACGAGAGAACGAATCCGGCGAAGGCACACGCACGTCACTGGTTCCCATTGAACGAAGAGCATTTGGAAGGTTGCTTGTCGACCCGTGGGTGGCTTGGCTATTTCATTGGCTGCAAGAGTGAATTGTCTCATGTATCTGGCATCCGGAAAATGCAAAGGTCCTACGCATGTCAATGGCAAGAGTCGAAGATGGAGCGGGGCTAGATGATCCTCACGACAGACCGTTCCTTATCGACTGCGTCCCCATTTCCCTCGAATGTCCCGGCAGCACCAGGTATTCGTTACCCTTTCCTATTGTTTCGTTCAGGACTGCTGGCGTGTGGAGGCTGTCGACACATGGTTTCCCTCCGATTGCGTTTTGGGAGACTGAAGAATGAGGGGATGGCCGTACTTGCGGCTCACAAATTGAAGGTCGACAGCGTGAACATCCGCAGCTTTCAATCACCCCGTCATCTCGGCGGACAATGCGCCTGCCTTGCCCTTCATCTACCCAGTCAATCCATCAGACGTCGGCACGCTGGAAGAGATCTTCTCGAAGCTAGACGTAGCCGACGAGCAGCACCTGAGCAGCTTGATCCAAGCGACGACATTGCCAAGTGCGCGCCCAAGCACACCCAAGTTCTTGACATACAAGTTGACACTATGGAGCCTTCGTTCTCCATGCGTGCAGCTTTACAATGCTTGCGGAACTCTACTCGGTCGTGTTTGTCCAGTGCACACCCCAGTTCTCCCTCAACAAGCTCATCGTCAGTCGAAACCTTCTCGATAGTAGGTGCTACCGACGCGGTATTATTCAGGTCGCCGTCGTGGGCAGCCGAGGTCATAATTTGTGAGTCAGAGATATCATAGGAACGGTCTCCCTGTTGTTCGTCTGGTTTATGTTTCGTCATTTGACTCGCTGCCTCCTACGTCTTTGTTGTCGTCTTTGGACTCAACAAGCTCATCATGAGTCGTCTCGACGGTAGGTGCCACAATCACGGTGTGAACCAGGGGCGGCCGTGGGAAAAGTCTCATTGTCTCGTTCCGTTGCTAGTCTGGTTTATGTTTGATCACTGGGGCGGCCGCTCATTGCCTAATGCACGACTCGAAGGGACGTCGAAGGGAACAGTCTCGTTCTGTTACTTGCCCAGTGTACGCCTCGGGGACTAGGATTTCTGTCTCGTCTCGTGTTGAAAGCCTGGAGGAGTTTTGTTTTTCTGGAGTCTCCCTTTAAACTTATGATAGGCGCGAAAAGATACACCCGGGGGGGGGGGGGTTTAGACTGCGAGCCACTTCATCACAGTCCCGCGCATCCACTCCAGGATGTCACCAAACACAACTTATGGCACCAAGGTGGTCACTGTCGAAGCAAGAGCAAACGAATCTGTATTGTGGTCAAAGTAGAAGTAAATTCTATTACAGCTTTGACTGCCAGCATTCCTTCGGCGCCAGCACATGGGCTATTGCTCACGGGACGCCATAAGGTAGTTGTTGATAACGGCATATCGTCACGGCGTTTCCTGACTGACAGGATTCCGATGGCGCCGGCCAGCACAAGGGCAACAGTATTGCTCACACCGGGGTGTGCCGGGGTGTGCAATGAAGTTGTTCTTGATGACAGTATCCGCCCCGGCCTTGACTGCTAGGATTCTCACTGGGCGCCAGCACATGGGCTGTTGCCCTCAAAGTACTGGCTGCACAGACCGGCTTCCCTTTGAATGTATCGAAGCAAGAGCAAATGAATCCGTATTGAGGCCAAAGATCCTGTCCCAGCTTTTCTTGACTGCAGGGATTCCTTCCGTGGCGCCAGCACGAGGGTTGTGCTGTCAGACCGGGATGTGCCATGATAGGTTGTTCATGGTGGCGTGTATCGCTTCGTCTTCGTTGCACAAGCCACCGGGATGTGTCATGAAGTCGTTCTTGATGCCCGCGTGCGTTGCATTGCTTCGTCTCTGTTGACTGCCAGGACTCCTTCTACCTTCTCTTCTTCTGACTGCATCAAAGTAAGAGCAGAATCCGTATTGTGACCAAAGTAGAAGTCCCGTCGCGGCTTTTGACTGCTAGGATGCCACCAGATACGTCTCGCACCAGGGTTGCAGTCCGTCGGTTTGGAGCAGCTTATGGGCGACAATTGATGCCCTTTCCTGGTTATGCTGAAGCTCCTGGGTGGAGAACAGTTGCGCATCCCAAGATGAACGGTGATCGTGGTCAAAGCCCTGGTTGCATTGACCGGCTTCTTTTCTTCCGACTGCGTCAACGCAAGAGCAGGGCCCGTATTGTAACCGTAAATTAAGAGAGAGAGAAAAAGAATTTCTTGATTCTCCAATCTCAACAACAACAGTTACCAAAAAAAAGGAAGGGGGAAAAAGGGCCGGCGCTTCCGGAATTTCGTCCACAATGTCCATCTCTTGTGCATTTACCCAGCGAAGCGCGTCAAGCGCAACCTGGTGAACCATGCACCACTGCAACGTGGCACAGCAGTTAGATATGCTCCTGGCACCATTGGTCGTCCCGTCACGGCTTTGACTCCCAGGACTCCCTCCGTAGCGCCAGCACAAGGACTGTTGCTCTCAAAGCAGTCCCTGCATAGACCGACTTCTCTTCTTCCGAATATATCGAAGCAAGTGCAAACGAACCCGTGTTGTGGCCAAAGTAGAAGGAAATCATGTCCCGGCTTTGATAGCGAGGATTCCAGGTGCCAGCACATGGGCTGTTGCTGACGCTGTGGTGTGTCGATGATATGGTTGTTCAAGACAGCATCCCGTCACGGCCTTTTCTTAACTGCTAGCATTCCTTCCGACTTCTTTTCTTCTGACTGCATCGAGGCGAGAGCAGACTCCGTATTGTGACCAGAGTAGAAGTAAATCCCGTCACGGCCTTGACAGCAAGGATTCCAGGCGCCGGCACATGAGCTGTTGCTCAATCGGGGTGTGCTATAAAGTGGTTGTTGATGATGGCGTGCATCGCTGTACCTTCGTTAACTACTAGGATTCCTGGCGCCAGCATAAAGACCATACTCACAGCGGGGTGTGTCATGAAGTCATTCTTGATGACGGCGTACACTGCTTCGTCTTCGTGACTGCCAGGAAGTTTTGGCCCCTTGGCCGCCTCGATGACTACGCTGGGGTATATTTCCACGTTGTCTGGATGCCCGTAGAGACGTCGTAACTGCTCCCCCGGCCCTGGGTATTGGTTTGACAGGTCAAAGTGACAGATATTTCGATGTACCCCAGGACCGGGGGCAGAAATAGCATCGAGGAGGAAAGGAGGAATTGTTGTTGCCGTAATGGCAGCGGGGTGGCGAGGCCTGGAGACCATGTAGTCAGTAAACAAGAGAAAAGCTATAACTCACAACAACTGGAGGAAAATAACAGTAGCGGGCGCCAAAGACTAGGCTAGTTCCCGGTCTATCCCAGTGCAACATGTGACATTCTCAGGCCGCCTAGGGGGAAATTTTGGGCTGCGAGGTCACCTGCTCCAAAATTTCACCTTGTGACTGGGGAGCCCCGTGGATCCTTACCATAGTGCTTCCAGGAGGGTTCTGACGGCATCGCGTTGGGTCGTAGTCGTGGCGAATCTCGCCTGGGCCACAATACAACTGTCGCTAGGTGCTTGTGGCGGTCAAGGCCATCGAGGACGGACAGAAGATGCTGAAGAGAGTCTGGTTCTGGGCTGGGCGGGCGGAGAGGTTAATGGTTTTATAGTTGGTTTTACAGTTGGCCTTGTTGTTGGAGATTTGTTTTAAAGGGCCTCCCAGTCCAAGAGCCGGACAATTTCGCGGCTGCGATACGCAGCCTTTCTGTGTTGCTGTTGCAGTATGTCACGGCCAGGTGACTGACACGGTTACCCCGCACGAGGCTGGCTACCCGCACGAGGCTGAGCGCACCTTTGTCCGTCGCAGCCACACTAGTTAGACTCCTTCGTCTCAGAATTCATATCTCAATTGCACCCTTAACCGCGATCTTTCCTGTTCTATATTGCACTGTGATACAGTAGTACTGACACTACATCCCCCTGTTTACTGCAGGTCTTCGACCGTACATCGATCAGCTGTGCAGTGAGAATTGCATTCGGGAAGTATATGCCGATCTATTGTCGTCGCCATAGGGAAGTACCCAGCTAGCAGCACCAACTCGCTCTCGCTGAGGCAGAGATGAAGAAAACGGGCGAGGAACAGCAGCCTGTTTTGTAAAATGCAAAGACGACGTCCCTATAAATGTTGACCGGGGAAGACCATGATAGCAACATGACCCAACACGAGCTCCGGACCCTCCGACAGCCTCTCATTCAGGATGAGAGACATGTCTTCCTCGACACCAATGCTCCTGCCAACCACGATCTCTCGGAGGGTGTCTGTGCAGATGGGAAACAAAGGCTAACTATTGGGAATTGGAATTTGAAGCTGTGTTGATGAATGAATGGGAAATGTCTGAGACAAGAAAGAATGCGGTTTGTAAGCTGTCAGACTAATGGCGACAGAGGTCCCGGTTCCGCTGGCTCCATCAACCTATCAGGCTGACGCAGCAGAGGATTCCGATGCTGCCGGCTCAAGCATGGCCGTCAGGTCCCAGTACAACTCGATATCCGCAGGCCAATTGAACGGACGGTCTGAACATTTGCGGCAGATGGCATACGCACCCGCCGGGATTTGGGCGTGATCTCCGCACTGACAGACCTTCCACCGCTTGCGGTATCCTATGCTGGTGCAAGTGTAGGTCTCGTGCAGCTCGTTGCTATGTTTGCACCGCGTATTCTCGCATTTTCCGCGTTTTGCCATCGCTTCTGGGTAATCCATAAAACCGCGTCGTTGGTGCTTGAGGGAGAGGGGGTTGATCAGGCGGAGAAGTATAGACAAGGCTTATCGCAGAAATGTGTGGTATTATTGTGTGACAGTGCCCATTCAAGATGTCGGGCCCCAGTCTAATCTAGCGGCCATTTTGCTAGATCAGGTGTAGGGCGGCACATAAGGCAGAAGGAATCGAAACCAAACCCCCTCTTGATCCGTTGCCAACCAGTTTGTGACCTTTCTGGCTGAAGCGAAGGCCGTGTTCTCGAAGGCGGCGGCCTCCTGGGCTTCAAGGACCGTATTCCGTCTTTGTTGTGCTGAGTTGATCTGTCAAGTACAGAGGCTGAGCCGAAATTGGGCTAGGTCTCCTGGGTAAAGTGGCAAGGCACGGTTCCAAGTACCAGCGGTGCTAAGGCCAGGTGCAAAGTCACCGCTGAATACCAATAAAAATCCATTTGCCAATGCACGTCAGTTATGTCCTTGGGGTTCAGAAGTCTGCTACCTTCGAGAACATGACCTTCGCTTTTGGTGTTGAAGCATTCTTCCTGAAGCGTTCTTTTTACAGAGGAGAGCGTGTTGGGAGGGTTGGATCCCAATGACTCCCTCTAGGACTTCCACACACGCACATTTTCAAGCTCGCGTATATGTTGTAGGCAGAGGGTGGCAGTAGAGCAAAAACAGGGTTTCGAGCGTCAAGTATCGACCGATGTCTACACAGGTTGAGCATCCCAACCGCAGCAAAAGCTTTCTTCAAGCCTGATTGCTCAAGGCTCCGATGTGAGCTCGACATTCTTATCGGCGGCACTGATGGGTTGAATGTCTGTGTACGATTGACTCTCTGTGGTTCCTCTAGATAACGACTCAGCGCCTGGGAAGCGCAGAGAGGTCGCTACAACCGGCTTTGGGAGGCAGTACGAGGTAGATTCTTATAACCTCCCCACTCTCTGCTGTGTACCTCAGCCTTGTCTCCTGATAGCCTTGTCTGCAACACTGTATTCGTCTGCACTACTTCGCCCACTTGATTCTGGTGTGGACGGTGTGACACCTGAGGTATCTATTCGTGCGACAGATGGTCCTTGTATCGATTACCATTCAGCAGCCACTGCCGCCACTCACAACGAAAGACAAATGTCTCTCAAACAACGACATTTAGCGCAAGGGGCACGCTTGCACTAGGGTTGGGTTTGTTGATTGCGTGCAAAGTGACCGCTCGGTCAACTAAAAACTGAGGAGAAAATGCGATGGAGCAGAGGGCAAGGCACTTCGTCGATGTCTGTTGACGAAGGGAGGATCATCTTGCCATACTCTGATACTCAGCAGCAGACTTGGAATCAGAGAGATTCGCAGCAGGGGGTTCGCGGAAAAGGCTTTGGTGCCCCTTCAAGGATGAGTTCATTGTCTGCGCCTTGAACGAGAGGTGGCCATCAAGAATGATTGGCGTATTGGCCAATCGTTCCAACTATAGAATAGATTGAAAATGACATGTGCAAGAAGGGCGATGCAAATATGGCACAATTCACAAAGCCGCTTTAACCACCGAGAGGCTTCCCCCAGCCCTCCAAGCCATTGATGCACCACCACCACCACCACCACCACCACCTAGAGCATCCGCCAATGCATGACCAGTTTTGTTCTGAGAACTGCTGGAGGCCCTCCCTCTAGCCCTTTGTCCTCTTACCCCCGGAATGAACTTGGCAGCATGCAAGAAAGAGGGAGGAACCAGGCAGGACCAGAAGTGGTTGCAAATTGCCGGTCAAGGCGGCACGGTCGTTGAAGTCACACCGCATGGGGTATTATATTCCACCGAAACAAGGATGTATTTGGGACAAGATGCTGAGAATTTGAAATCCCGACCGGTGGTAGCTGAATGCCCCAATCCAGAGCAATTCAAAGTAATGAAGAAGAGAGGGCCACACTCACGCTAAGGAAGCGAAGCGAAACAACCCTTCACACCTCGTGAAATTCGGCAAAGCGTGTTGCCAACGTGAACCCGACCAAGCATCTCGGTCCAACAGCCATCATCCTTCGCGCCTCTCACAGACAACTCGACCCGGCAGCAGTCTGCCGAGTACTGGCCAGTCGACCCGCACTTGCGTTCCTGCCGGTGACGTCGAGTCTGGAAACGTTCGTCGAGTTGAATATCGGCATCGGGCCGATGGGCACGTCGACAGCAGGCTTCTTCGTCGATGCCGACTGGAGCTTTGGAGCCGGCCACGCCTTGGTTCTTACTCCCGCTGTTGCAATGATGATAGCCGCCGCTCAGGCCGTGGTTAAGAGCGACGACGACGACGACGACGAGGATTGGTGTCAGCGTAGAAAGGCTTTGTGTGGTCGGTCTTGTCTGTATATCCTTATCCAATGCTGTCATGTCTGTCACCTGGAGCTGCCGAAGACGTCCAAAGCACCGAGTGAAAACATTTCATCTTCGTGTACGATGTATGTCAGGAGCATGATCCCTTCTCCGTCGTGCATGCAGCAACATTTGCCACTGACCGCCACCAGCGAGCAGGCTGCTTCAGTCAGTCAGTCTGCTGATCCTCCAACGGAATTTGATCACTGGGGTCGAAGGACATCGATGGGGACAGCCTCATTCTGTTTCTCGTCTGGTTCATGTTTGATCACTGGGTCGACTCGACATTGCCCAGTGCACGCCTCGAACGGGAGTCGATGGGAATAGTGTCCTTCTGTTGCTGGCCTAGAGCACAATTTGAGGACCCGGATTTCCGTCTCGTCTGCGTGTTGAAAGCCTGGAGGAGTTTTGTCTTTTTGAATTCTCCTTTTAACTTCTGATAGGCGCGAGAAGATAACGCAGAAGACGGGTAAATAGCCTCCTGCTAGCCGCCTGGTGCATGCGCTGTCGTGGTGGGCAGCCGTGGTCACGAGCTGTGAGCCATGGACATCGATGAGAGAAGTCGACTCCCGAATCGAACCACGGCTCGAGCATCCTCTGTGTCTCTCCTGTAAATGTATCGATGGAAAGCTCCTGCCTCTGGGTCTTTTCCGTGCTTGTCTAGTTCCAGCAAGACCACCGCGTCGAATAGGTATTGTCCCTTGGTGTAGTAAGCATTGTCTCTCCTGGATATCTTCTTGCCAATGATTCCCCGTAGGGCAGCCTGGACCCAGATCTTAGAGCTCGCGCGGGCGGCCTGCTCGGCGGTCAAAGGTTCTTGCACGGCGGCCTGTCCAGCGGCGGAACTAAGTTGCAGTAGAGTATGTCAATGCGAGACAGGCGAGCCTGCGATGAGGTCTCCACCTTTTGCTGGAAGTTGGAAGGGTGGTGCAGGTTCCACTGGGTTTCGTGACCCAACATCGGGGGCATGAGATCTCGTTGCTCGTCTGGTGCATGTTTGATCACTGGTTCGAGGTACACGCTGGCGCGAACAGTCTTTCGGAACTTGTGCTGCGTTCTCCTCTTCACCTTCCCAGGCATGTGCGGATCCGTCTCGTGCCGATCTCCATGAGTAGAGCCATCGAGGAACTGCGCTCGGATGATCTGGGCTGCTTCCTCGTGCCTCTCCCAAGCACCCTCTGAGCCTTTGTAGAATGTGGTGGTGGTCTAGCGTCGCGAGAAAAGAAGGGAACGTTGAAGACGAAGACGAAGATTGCTGCTGGGAAATACCACGAGGAATTTCGACTTTCGGGACTCGGCCGGGCGTGGCGAGTTGCAGCATCTCCCTGGCAATTTCCCCGGAGATTTAGTTTCAATTCCATCATATCGGATTCTGTGGCAGGGATGAAAAAGAAAAAGAAAGGGGGGCGAGGACTGCAGTGGTGATGCCGCATACCAGCAGATCCGATGGTTTCTCCATCGTCGAGTTGGTCGCCGTTCTTGCCGTGAAACACCTTGTTCGCGTAGTCGATGTCTGCCTCCTTGAATTTCCTGGAGAAGAGACGGTGAAGGCGCACCGGAAATAGTGGTGGCCTTGCAGTTTGACCGCCACAGTGTGATTTGCAAGTGCTTGCGAACTGCGGTGTTTACGGGGAAATAGTTAGAGAAGCGCAAGGGAATCTTCCGTCAAAACCTGTGCCCGCCATTGCCTGCACTGTACACCGTAGATAGGCAATAAGGAGCGCCATGTCTTACTCAAAAGTGGATTATTTGAACTTGCATTGTATGAAACTTCCGCCCAGAGACAAGGTATCAAACAAACTTAAGGAGAAAGGGGGCCACGGCCCCGGAGTTGATGGATTTGTCGCTACATATGGTCGAAGCATGACATAAGGAGAACGAGTTCTAGTGCAAATGTCGGTATGGCGCAGTCCCCAGCAGACGCGCTCCGGCATATCGGCCCAGATTCGAGCTGCCCAGAATGCCGCCTCGAGCACTCCGTCTCGTGGGAATCCGTGTTCGCGCCTCTGGACCGAAGACGGTGATCGCAGTTCTGTCGAAGCTGGCAGGTAGCATGGTTCTGGATTTGCCAACTTCGCATCAATCTCGATTGCATCGACCCCGCGCGTCATGGCCTGAGGCCACTGCAAACAGACTGTGGCAAAGGGTCGACCGGCCAGTGCTTGTGAAGCTCACTGTTTCAGCCACACCCGCGAGAATTGTTCCTTCTTCTTCCTTGTACACAGAACATCGAGGTCGACCCGAGCTCCCTTGCTAGACAGGAGAAGCCATCTGTTCCGTTCTCCCCAAGCTGCGGACAGCACCGGCTTTGGCAAGGGCCGTGGGCCGTGGTCACGTAACTCGGTTGGCAGACACACCCGAGGCAGAGTCAATGTGCCGACTGGGTTGTAATGACTTGGGATTTAGAAATGATCGTTGGGCGGACATATTCTATCGCAGAGGGCGGAGGGCTATTGCGAAAGTCAATGTTTACCAGACGAGACACAAATACGAGAACTGAACACGACCCATCGACGCATCTGTGGGTGCGGACCTCGCGGCTTCTGAGGTGATCCAAGGACTTTGAGCCACGGGCGCCGTTGCTGACGAAGAGCCGCTTCGACCGGAGGGTTGGGAGCCAGCGGCAGTATGACGATTGTCTGTGGCCCCAGTCAAGAAGAAGGGCTGCGCGATGGAAAGGGAAGAGAACAAGAGAGAGCAAGTGGGCGTGACAGTATCGAACACAAACGGAGACCTGGCGGTGAACATAATCCATTCTGAGGACGAGCACCCCTTCCTTCTTCGAGTCGAGGCGGGACTGAGCCAGATGATAACCCCGTCCCGACGGCTGTGATGACTTCGAACACAATGCAGACGGCGGTGCTGCACAACATGCCATGGGGGAAGTAATGGCAACGACGCCCTGTTGTTCACGGTCAGGATGTTGGTCGTGGCCGTCCTCGCGCTCACCTGCTCGTCCGTCGACTGGTTCACCTCGGCGGTCACGGTGCTGGAGCGGTTGATGTTGGTGTTGATGGCCATGCCCTCGTCCCTGTCCGCGATCGGCATTGTGCGCACGTCCGTAGAGTAGGGTAAGAGCCAGTGCAAACGCAAGGCAACCAAGGACAATGCATGGCAACAAGGCAACGCAAGGCAACAAGGACAATGCATGGCACCAAGGACAATACAAAACCACAATGGCAATACAAGGCAACGCAAGGCAACAAGGACAAGACAAGACAACAAGGGCAATACAAGGCAACGCAAGGGCCTTCTCTGCCTGCCCTGCCTTGCCCTCAATCCACAAGGGGTCTCTCACACACTATAAAGGCCTGGATGTTTCCTCTCTTCGGTGCTTTCCTCCGTCACTCACACACTCTCTCAACACAACACTCTCTCAACTCTACTCGGGTCTACCGAGTAGAGTTGTATATATATATAACAGCAGCGAAAACCGACTTGCCTCGCCTGACTTTACCTTGGTGGACTCGAAGCTGCGAGAGCACTCCTTGTTCCAGGATCTGGATCTGCCGCACTGAACACACACCGGAAGACCTACTTGCACACCGGAATGGATCACACTACCGATGTGGTGGACATCGCCCAGAATTCCAGAAGGCCGGTCGAGGACTTGCGGGGCACAAGACACAATTTCGCATTCCCTCCAAGGTAGCGATCTCACCGGGGTACCCGAGAGCACTTGGCGATAAAGAACGATGTGCTGTCCGGAGCAGTGGCTGTAGCAACAACAACAGCAACAGCCACAGCCACAACAGCAACAGCAACATCGCCGGCGGCAGCAGCAACAACAACATCGCCGGCCCCGCATTCCCTCCAAGGTAGCGATCTCACCGCGGTACCCGAAAGCACGTGGCGACAAAGTGCCCCTGCGACTGCAGATAAACACTTCATCAAAGCTTACCCACAACTAAAGCTCTCTCCTCCCACTGACAGCGAACATCAAGGGCAGTCACGAGAACCTTCCTTTAGCAGCAGCAGCAGCAGCAACAACAACAACAACAACAGCAACTGTTGTCAGATCGCCGGGGCCATCACGCGCATGCTCCGCCCCGATCGCTTGCAACCGGAAGCGGACATCAGGGAGTTGGCCACGTCCCAGCGTGTCACGGCGGGGAAGTGGATGCTTGTCCCGCGCGAAGAGGAAGTCGACTCAGTCTGGGCGGTTGTTGCGCGAGCCGTGTGGGAGGGCAAGTTGGGCACCGCGGCCAAGGTAGCGACCGCCAAGGCAGAGGAAGGGATGATGGTCGTTGATGATGATGGCGGCGGCAGCGGCACGAGAGACAGAGGTCTCAGACTGATATGCATCTACACCGGGGACTTCTCCGACCAAGCAGATGTCAAGCGCGTGCTGCAGGCTCTGAAGGATCTTCGGCCTGCTCAACCTCGCCGGACCCGGCGGCGCCCTCGGGCCTGAAGTCATGTATGTACATTTAGAATACAAAAACCCCTTTTTACCATCCACAAAGCCTAAGAAACATAGCCTGAGTTCACACAATCCAAGTTCAATCACTCCCCCAGCCTCCTATCCATTCCCAGACACACATTTGATATCAGACTCGGCATCCCCCTCGTCGAAACAGCGCGTGCTTGAACCAGGCTGGGGGTAACACAAAGGAAGCGAGTCGTTTGGACAATAGGGTGAGAGACGCGGACGAGGCTGAGCTTGAGACACCAGCACGGTTGGCGGCGCATCTGCGGAATACATTAGCTTGCGTGCGTAGTTCGCCGAATGCTTTGGTCAGCCAGAATCCAACCATCCCAAGCTCCGCTGGCGCCTGGTTCTCCATGTCATGAATCCTTCCCTTTTTGCTGTTGTACTGCTTTGCTTGTGTGTAGCGAGAGGAAGATTGAGGCTGGACAGGCGCCCTGTCTCTGTAGATCGCTAGCGACACAGCTGAATCAGTGGCGAAGCCTTCGCATATACCTGTATAGTAATTGTGAGTATAAGACGCAGGGACAACAAGCATCTCGAAATAGCTGCTAAATTCCGAACTCACGTCACCAATACTGTTGAAGAAGGAGGAGCTCCAAATCCTATCTTGGTTCCTGAAGATTGGGTAATACGGGATATTGATTGACACCACTGTTGTATCCTTCAACGGACTCCCCCATCAACAAAGAATGTACTGCTTCGCTTGCCTTAAACGGACAAAGAACACCTTCCAAATCCCAATCCCACCCCAGTAGTACAGTACAACATCCATACACCGCCTTCACGCCTGCCCCTCCGTCGATTCCCCATAGTGCGATGTCTCCTACTCCTGTCCACCATCTCAGGCGTTGCCTTCGTTGAAACCGTCCTTCTCAGCAGTCTGCTCGCCGTCTCAACACTTCCCACTTTTGGATAGCCATCTCTTGCACCATATCTGTACGGATATGCCTGACTCAGGGCTGGGGAGGAAGCTCGATAAGGAGGCCGGCGTCTTTTACCGGAAATGATCAACGGGGAGCTCGAATCTCTGGAGCCACGCCGAATGGTCGATACCGTCGAGATACCCAGAGTATCTCTCCCAGGTTCTTCGATAATTCCAAATGTTGCTAGCCCAGCCACATGAAGGGATGGTTGAGGGTATGGCACAAAAGAATAGGTCAGAGGCGAACGAACGGGGCGCTGACTGCGCAGAGTAATCAGCGACCTATAGGGGTGGAGCGGATAAGTAGGGAAGCCGGGGCCGGTGAGATATATGACGGGGACCGACTCTCTTGGAGCGAAGCCCTGAGCGAAGCGATGTCTAGGTAGAATGGATGGTCTCTCGTCCTAATAGAGCTGAGGATGATGAGACTAGCCGTGGCGCCTGGTGGCGGTGAGATCGTCGTCGGGGGGATCGTTGGTTATCGAGTTGAGGGTTGAATGAGGTGTCAAAGGAACCAATACGGCGTTTGGATGACAGTAAGCGGGAACCAGAACGAGGTATGCGTGAAGGGCGAACTGCGAATATGCCAATGGGCCACAGTCTCCTAACTCAGTTGTGTTTCTCAACATACTTTGTACAGCACTAGAGTGAAGTGCGGTCATGGACGTCGTGTCCGTCGTCGGCGCCAACTCGTCCTGTTTGGTGCCATTCTGGGGGTCATCTTTTTGGATGTTGGGGTTGATCTTCTCAAGTGGCAAGACGTTGGCGCGCGAGCCAATGTGGCATCGCGAGCCAACATCTTGCATGAGGGTGTCCAGGTGAGAAAATGATTCTCATAGATATATATAAAACGCGTCCTTTGCCAACCCAAACAGGGAAGATTGCACAGGGACGTGCAGAGAGGCCCGCAAAGTGAAGGTCCTCTAGCATTGGTCCACCATAAGCTGTGTGACTCAGGCGGCGCTGGCTCTCATCGTGGTTGATCGAGTCCTTTGCAGGCCTGCCGGTGCGCACCGTTCAGCGCAAACGGAATTGTGCCGGCCAGGAAGGTGTCAATTTCAGCGGGCAGTTGATTGATCAAACAACAAAGACGGATTAGTCGTGGCGACAGTGGAATCGATAACAGAGCCAGCGGGAAGGTCTGGATGAGCTGCGTCAGTGCCGTTCAAGCCGGCAAAGATGGCCTTCGCAGACTTCAGAATGGTCGTCAAACTCGGCCCAAGAGGTCTGATAAGGTCATAGGTGCCTGATATGACATACGTGAGCTGTTGGATGGTAAAACCAGCAGCGCCCATCTTGTTATACAAGTCGAGGAAATCCAGTGTCGGATCTGCTTCTTTGAAGGGATCTCCAAGCAGCTGGATTAGCTCTATCAGTAGAGCTGGTTTGAGTGCTAATGTTTGCGCGAGCAATGCGTAGCGGTAGGTTGTGGATATTGAGTCTCGCGCGAGATTCTCCTCGCTAGACGCTCGGCAGCTTCCAGGCCAGGAACGAGCGTGGATGCGTCGGTCAGTGTTTGAGGACTGAGCCCGCAAACTAGTCTCGCCGAATTTGCGCTTCCAGGTGAAAGGTCTCACTCATTGGCCTGGAATGGCGCACGGCGCGACATATTCACCACGGCGAATTCCAGCCCAGCCGAAGTGGAGGGCGTCGACTTCTTAAGGCCTGTCGACGATGCTCTGTTTGAAGAACTCCGCGCAACGCTGCGTAAGTACGAAGTCATCATTCTGAGAAAGACAGCGCTCGACGACGAAGGCGCGCTGGCCTTAGGCCGACGCTTTAGCGACCTCGACGACGTCAAAGTCCACCGAGCAGCCGCGAATTTCCGCATCGACAACGGCAGAGGTCAAGCTGGTGAAATTCAAGATCGGATCCAAGTCATCTGGCTTGAGCTTGAGAGCTGCACGTATGGCGGGGATGTGAGCAGAGATTGGTGTGGTAGCAGAGAGATAATTGCCATTGATGTCCGCTGTGAAAACGTGGTCGACTCCGATAATCTTCTGAGTCAGAAACGACCTCGCGTACAATGAGCTGGATACAGAGTGCCGATGACAGTGCGGGTGCAAAGGGAGGGTGTTAATTCTTTGACTTCGTTGCTGACGTTTGAAGCCGTAAGTAGTAGCTACCGGAGGAGGCTTGCTCGAACGAAGATCTAGTGCCTCTACCTTGGGCTGCGGTTGAGGAGGCGTAGTTTTTCCAGCGATGGTGCGTCCAACAACAGGAGAACGAAGACTGGCAGCGTTGGGCCGTCAGCAGACTCTAGAACAATGATCTTTCCGAGGCAATCGAACCATCTGTACAGGAGGCCGAAGATCTCGGAGTTTGAAAGGCATACCAGAGGATCCGCTTGGTCCCCTTGATTGACTGGGTGTGCGCCAATGTCTTGATCAACGTCAGGTTGCATGGACTCGGGGAATTGGATGACTTTGCGAAACGATTACGCTTCGATCTTTTGCCGTTTTATCCACCAGTGTTTCCAAAGCTCGGTAGCTGAAACGGATGCTCGACATAACGATCAGGTCGCGGCCTTTGGGATAAAATGGGTTCACAAGATTCGTCTTGGTGAGATCGACAACTTTGGTGTACTGCATATTGGCCCGCGTGAGGAACTGGGCTTTCATCCAGCGTAAGCCAATGAGTTTATGAGGATTGTCCGACATGAAGTCTGCCTCGTTGTCGTACCCCCAATATTCCTAAGATTTTCGCACTCCAATCTGCTTCTGATAATGGTGATCGGTGATTGATGACGTTCCCGTTCGTGCGAGGACCTCAAGATATGATTTTGGCCAGAATGACTCTTTCATGAGGATGATGTGTTCCTTCCTCTTGAATTATGTCCAGAAATGCGGCCAAGACTGTGCTGCCGATTGTTTCATGATGTAGAGCAGACAACATCGAGTTATCTTCGGTGCCAAACGGCCGGACTGCGACCGGAGTGACGTGAGGCTTGCGGAAAACATCCAATACTTCTGTCCGGGATGTCTTCAGATCGTTCAGGTAGACTCGATTCGCCGCAATTGGTTGATAGAAAGGTCAAATGCCAGAGGATACACTTGCAGGCGTCGATCGTATCCTGAGAATCCGGTGTGTGCATTTTGGAGTGTGTACCCGGATTGACGAGAAAAGACTCCAGAACTTCGTTGACAAGGTCGATGGACGGGATGAGAGTATTCGCATTTTCGTAAGTCAATTGTAGGCGAAGAATGTCAAATCGCCGTCTCGATAGGACTTCTAATGCAGCGTTTTGGATTCCGATGGCATCGGTGTTTGGAAACTTTGGGAAACTTGTTGTCGGATCGACCGACTCATCCAGGTTATTGTTTCGTAGATACTGGGCGAGGTCGAGAGCAACGGGTTTCAGCAGCGGGCTGCTTGGGGGACCTGGTTCACTTTTCACCTGGTATGCATATAAACAAACCCAGGGCCATGAATTGAGGTAGAAAAGGTGAAAAGGTGAAAGGCCCAGTAGTGCTTCCCAGATGGATGACCTAAAGATTGGATTCACGGCTCCACGCTTGAGGGACTCTTTTCTACGCCCAATGACACCATAACCGCCTCGATCGGATCGTCTCCACCAAGTTTGCGTGGACAACCACGCTTCGAACGTATGAGTTCCCGAGTGTATGAAAACACTACTGCGGCAATGTCGCATCGTACTCACCAAGCCAGAGACGAGAGTCCAGATGGCATCAGAGAGTAAAGGATCTGGCCCATATCAGACCTTTCTACTGGACCTGCTCAGATCTAAAGAAAATCCCTCGCTCGCTCACATCTATCACAGTCCGCATTCCTGTCAGTGCACATTCCTCTCAGTCCGTGCCACACGGTCTGTGCCCAAAAACAAGTTCTCTTCCTTATTGCGGACCACGCCACTATCAAGCAACTGATTCTGTATCAATCTTGACACAAAGACCAAGACCGGATAGGCAAGGACACCTCCATTCCGATAGCGACGTGAGACCCAGGGGGACATCATCCGCGTTTTGCACTGCAACGATAATAACTCCTTCAGCCTATTTGCCCCGATCGAGATCTTCAACAAGGCTATCCAGGCCATCGTCCTCAACGCACAGTACGCGAGAAGGAAACGAAATTCTCGCCAGGAATGAAAGACTCAGACACCGAGCGACTCGCCCAGAATCCCTCCGCCCAAAACCGCGAAATGTCCCCTCATCAAGACTGAAGACACTGGAAACCGTGCCTCATTTTTCGGGTCGCAACGGCTGAGCAACCGCACGGGTATTTTGCAGTCGTACCAGACGGAGAAGAGGAGTTCAACCCATTGAAAACATCATTCAAGTGGGCAGCCATCTGCCATCATAATGATCTATGGTTATGCCTTTATTTCAAGGTCGTATTGAGTCCTCAGACCGTTGGCGCTAAGAGCCCGGGAAACAGGCCAGGTTTTGGCCATCGAGCCTGAATGTGGCGCAGGCTCGAGAGGTAAGTTTCTGCTATATCTTAGCCAAAGATGCCCAAAACTAACCACATTCGTCCGGACAGAGCCCAGTCTCTCACTACGTCCATCCGTGAATACTTGAGGATGACAAACCGGAATCCAATGACCGAGCTTGCCCAGACCTCCCCCAGACCTCGCAAGACATAATGCGGACGAAGAGAAAGTCTCCTGAACCCCTCTCGGAGAATGACCAACGTCACATCACACAAAACGGACCAAGACGGCAGACGGTCTAGGCATCAGATTCGGCGGGATCTCTCAAAAGCCCAACGACAAGAGAAAATCCTGGCCAAGCTGCAACGACAAGAGAAGATTCTGGTCGAGGAGCAACCTCGGGAAAGGAGTCTGAGTAAGATGGTTACGACAACAAGGATAATACTTCAAAGCATAGCACATCACGGCCGACACCACTGCCACCAGCGCCACCACAGGATGCAACCTCAACGCCTGACCAAGACTATTTAAAGCCTCCTCCAGTGGTACCCAAGTCATGGTAGGAAGCAGGCACCCTCGGTGGCATTGGAAGTCTAGTGGTGAATGAATGCTTCGACGATAACCCTGACCAGATGATCGACTTTCTGGCCTCGTCCCTAGGATACATGGAGATCAGCAAAGCCTTGAGAAATCCATGTGTGGCCAGGAAATTGAAGCTTCATCCGAACGAAATCTTGATGGACCATAACAGGGGGCCCAGCTGGTTGCGGTAATTCATCGTGGACTGGCCAAGTGCTTGCTTGCCAGCCTGCTTTTGCCTCCTGTCGGCAAAGATAGAGAGGCATATGGAAAAGACGGAGATGACGATTTCGGATCTCAGAATGGTGGGTCGAGGCAGAACGGAAGAGGGACGCTGGCGCTAGAGTGAATGATCTGTACCGTCTGCGAGCGCTCGAGTCTGGTTGGTTCACGTGCTGGTGCTGGTGGAGTGACATGGATGCAGCGTGGAGCGTCTGGTAGCAGTAGTGGTTATGAAGTGAAATCAATGACAGAAGATATTCAGTTCAAGTTGAGAGGCGGCGGGCGGTGTGTGTGCACAGCGTGTAGAACCATGCCTGTACTGGACTGCGGTGGGCTGATACCCCGCTTCTCTGCGAGCTGGCAAGAGTCCCATCTCTGGGTTTCTGCCCGTGGAAATGATCGTCTTCGTGAGCCTCTGGGACTCGGTGTCGCACTGGCTCCTAACGTGGGTGTTGTCCCTGCAGAGAGCCGTTAGGTTCGAGCTGTTTGGCCGCATGGAGGTACCTGTGCTCACCTGCGTGACAGGAATGGCGTCTTGCAAGCCGCCCGCACCGAGCCTGTTCGGATTGGAGATTGTCAGCGGAGGGAGGCGTTGGGAAGATGGCCGGCGTTCATTCCACGCACTGTGCGGTCGAACTCTTCGTAGACAGTCCGTTGTGTCTCATTGAGACCACCGACGGTTTGCTTGTAGGGCTCAGGAATCCACCCTACCCACCGATTGATTGATTCTTTAGGGAATAATATCCCGGTCTCCTCCTTCAGCAAGGAACCGGCGGCGGCGTTCTTCCAGATCAGAACAGCGTCGGTGACCAGGTGGTCGATTTCTGCAACAGCGCACTGCTCGGCTGCCCGTTCGACAAACGAACAAGCGGTGTCCAAATTGTCATTAACACACATCAGGGTGTCTGGGAAAGTTGCTTAAATACCCCGTGGAAGCCGAATCGGCATTAGCGATTGAGCGCGTCCTTGCACGCTATTGTATGAGTAGCTGGGAGGACGTTCAGGCGCGCCCGGCTGATCGGCTGATCGGGATTCATGGGCGGCAGACTCGTTTGTGAGGAGTTTTGAGCAGGACGGAGAGCTTTGAGGAAGGCAAGGAGTTTTGAGGAGGGGGAGGAGTCGTGGCGTGGCGTTCGAGATGAAGCCGTTGGGTGAAGCGACAGATGAAAAGCTCTCGCTTGTGTTGTTTGGCCCGGTGGTGTGGTGCAAGGTCTTAGCAGTCTTCGTTCGTCGGCACTTCTGCACGGACATTACTCCAGTCACAAACGTAATTTTCAATACCATATCAATAAGCCTGATACAATACCTAATATAACTCGAAAGGTATTAATATTTTAGCAATACTCTTGGTATTTCCATACGCTAAGGCCTAGTTATATGGAAATAAAAAGCCAAAACTTTTCGCCCCTAAAATCCTTTCCTCTGTGATGGGTTGAACCCTGAAGGAGGCTCGGTTCGGAGGAACCAGCGCCATGCCACCTCCCAATTGGTCAGCCGTACAACATCTACGCAAGGGGTACACGACCGCGCAAGGAGTGCAGATCAAGAGAGTCTTGACAACCAGAACACCGCACGCAAGGGGTGGATGGCGTATACAGGAATAAGGAGGCAAGGGAAAGAGGCAAGACAAAAGGTACCCCTTATAGGAGGGCGTACGATATAAGGAGAGAGGTAGTCTGCGTTGAGAACAAAGTTCAAGTCCAGGAGCGCGCTGCTGAGAGCTGAGTGCTGAGTGCTGAGTGCTGAGTGCCAGAGTCAGGAAAAAAGCCAAAATTCTGGGAGTTCCTCTGGCCTGCTCAGTGCCCTGCTGAGACTGAGTGTCTGAGTGCTGGGAAATGAGTGCTGGGGAAAAAAAAAAAGAAAGTTCTGCGAGTGCCTTCTGCCTTCTTGCCTGCACTGACTGCGGTGCACAGTCTGCATGGTCTGACCTGCACTCGCTGCGCCCACTCTTGATATCACTCCCCCCTCCAGCAGCCCCAGAGAATGTTTCCCAGCAGCACAAGACGAGTTCTTCCCAGCTCAATAAAATCTTTCCCAGCCCAGAGAATGTTTCCCAGCAGCACAAGACGAATTCTTCCCAGCTCAATAAAATCTTCCCCAGCCCAAAGAATGTTTCCCAGCAGCACACGACGAGCCTTTTCCATTTGCCAATTCATCTTGATACCATGCCAAACGGTGCCTGAGAGCCGGGGAGCCGCATCGTCTGGTTCGGCTTCTGCTTCTTCTGTTGTTTCTTCGCCTCAGCGTCAGTAGTGGTGCGAGCGTTGTCACCATTGCCAGTTGCAGGAGTGGTAGTGGTATTGGCCTTGTCAACCTGGGCACCTTCCGGCTCTGGGCCTGCGGACAGCTTGCGTTTAGACCGCGTCGTCTGAACAGGCTTGGTCGGATCCCATCGGATGAGCCCAGCATGCTCCTCCTCCAGCTCGTTAGTGCGATCAGCCTGACCGCGGCTGTCACGCGCGTACA